TTAAGGAAACACTTCCCAGGTTACCTTTGTGCTTACATTTCACTCGTTCTGTATCACTATTGGACTATAATGCTACTGCTGGCACCTGCTGGCAATACAGTTGCACTTCAAATGAGCTGTTCGCTGTTCAACAGCAAGCTGCAGTCGCCGATAAAAGACTGAGTACTTATTTCAATATCATGAACATTATCGCAGATTTCTTCTCACAAAATAATCGTGATACATTTTTGAGGCGCCTGCCCCTAATGGGTAATAATGTAAAACAAAAAAGCCTTTTGCATCTACTTTGGCAATTTAAAACATAAAACGGAGATGTGTCACTTCAAATACCACGCTTTGATTTAATTAAATGCACATTAAACAGACATGTCACTGTGGTGTCAACCCTTAATATCTCACTTCTCTCGCTGCCACCTCTGAGGTCCACGTTTCACACAGCATACTTAATGATGTGAACAGACAAGTCGTCCATCCCACATGACACGATCACGGAATTAAAACTGACAGTTTGCTGGGATATTTCAGCTCCTCCTGACATGAAACATGATGCAACTAACTTTCATTGCCGCTGCAGTCTTCATGTAACTGCACTGTGTCGTTCTTACAGCACCTTTGGGTCCAACTCGTGTTTATTGAATCCTGATTTGTAATCGGGCAACTCCAGCCTCTGATTCACCAGTGCTTCCAGTAAAACCACATCGACGCATAACTTGCACTCACTCGCATCCGAACGTCAAATGTCTTTTCACGACTTGCTGCTTCCCCACCTCTCTCTTACCCTCTTATACTTTCCAGGCGATTAAATTCTCCCGTCTCTTAACCAATTCTGAATTAACCAAGTTGATGCTGCTTTGAATAAACAGTAAAAAAGAAAACAGAAACATAATAAATTAAAAAATGGTTATGGGGAAAAAATGCCATTATGAAAACAAATTAAGTCCTGTAAATTTATGTTAAATTATGAAAATAAATAAAATATATTATATAGTAATGAGTTGAGTTTTAATTATCTCCTAAATAAATTTGCAAATTATTGTTTAATTACAGGCCTTCATATTTATTTATTTAATGCTGAGCACTTTGGGGGCTCCATATACGATGAGTCACAGTTTACAGCAATGCAAATAAATCACTGTGATGGGCCCACCACCACAAAATAATATTATCTGTGATCTGAAGTCTGCTCATTTGAATCTTCAATAGCAATAAATACATTGAGGAAAATATTATTTACTGTTCTTCGGTCTGCAGCATTAAGTGGGAATAGATGGCTATAGATACATTTCCTCATGAGTGATTCCCTCTAAATCTACTGTAAGAGAGGGAAGTAAAGGAATTAAATGACACTTAGTGAAGGCGAATAAAGAAATATGCATATTATTGAAGGCTCAAAATAGGTCCCTTGAGCAGGGGAGGGTGTAATAAATATGTTAGGCTGATAAAAATGGCTGAAGGATAAAAAGGAAACAGAGGCTGGATACTGAAAAACAAAAACACGGCCTCAAAAAAGTAAAATGAGCGACGCGAGCTACATCAAGGGAAAATGGATGGATGTCTGCTGATGACCTCAGTCTCTAACCAGGTGTCACAGTGAGAGGAAACAGGTGATAAGGACTCCTGTTGCCGGGCGATTGATGAGTTCTGCATGTTTAAGTGAAGAACAGGAAGATGGAGAGCAGCAAGAATGATAAGAAAAGGTTGATAGAGGATGGGGTGGTGGTGCAACAGCCTGAATGCCAAACAATACGTCAAAAAGAAAAGATTCAGAACTTCAGGACTGCCCCAGCTCCACTGTCCCCGTTTTAAAACAAGGAAACATGCTGGTGAGTTTATAACAGATTTTGATACAAATCAAACAATCTCAGCTCGTATGGAGAAAATGATGTGGTG